GTACTCCAAAAGCTATACGTGGGATGGCTGCCAGGTACAGTCAAGCACAGACACCACAGGTTGCTCCACAGGTGTCTGCTGCAACGTCACCTAAGGCTGTGCCACAGCAGGCCAAAACTGGGCACTGACAACATCCCAGCCAAGCAATGGAAACACTTCAGCCTTCCTCTTTGAGCATGCAAGCTTAGCCCATAAAATGGCTTTCAGCAAGAGTACTGAAGGTTCCAGGTTGACTGTACCCTGGTGGCTTCCATACAAAAATCACCTGACAAACAAAACGACAAGTTTGTTTGTTTTTTTTTTTCCAGCTGCAGACTCAATCTGGGAACTGAAAGCAAAGATTTGAGCTCTTTTCATCACCCCAAGTACCACCTGGTATGTAATCTTGGCATGCTGGAGATGTACGTGCTATGGGTACACTGGGTGCATGGCCGTGGGTATGTGGGGTACATGCTGTGATGCCATGGATATGTGGATTGCACACTGTGGGTATAAGCGGTGCAAGCCATGGGTATGCAGGGTGCACACTGTGAGTACATAGGTTGGGTACACACCATGGATATATAAGGTGCACACCACTGGATATACAGGGTGCACACTGTGAGTATGCTGCCTGAATCCAACACGATGCTGCAGCAGGATGAGGAGCGGGCACCCAGCTGGACAAGCTGGGCTGGCTCAGCTGGGAGTGACCTGGTTATGCTGGCTGGAGCCAGGTAACAGGGAAAAACCCATGGTGTGATAACTATGCTATGATGTTATTTGGACCCGTCCGGGGAGCAAAGCCCAAGGGCTGGCTGGTCATGCACCTCCCTGGAGACCCCCCATTCCAGCGTGACTGCATGGTATTTGGACAGTGGTTGCTCAACCAAGTGGCACAGGGCCAGAGGCTGACAGGCCAGCTCGAGGTCTCTGTAGCAAGGCCAGGGTGACTCAGCATGATTTGGGGGAGGAAAATGGTGAAGAGAGAAAGTCTAAAGGAAGAGGGACCCAGCCCATGTGTGACAACAACCAGAGGTTCTGGGACCCCCCATGCTGAGAGCTGTGATGGGTGCTGGGACACATGACAGAAAGCAGGACACAGAAAAAACTCAAAACCAGGCTATTTCAGAAGCAGGAAGAAGGCTGCACATCCCCAGCCCTGTTCTCTGCCCCTATCACCCTGCATGAGGGATGTCCCATGCCAAGGGGATGCTGCAAATGGCAGCAGAGTCTTCCCAAGGAGTCACTCACAGCACAGTCTTGTCCCTCCCCACACCACATAGAGCTGTTGTCTCTGGGCATCATGCAGAAAGCAGTGCCGGGTGTTTGTCTCTTTGAAATGAAGCAGTCTCCTCCAGGCAGCATCGCTTCAAAACCTGTCCCATGCTCTTAAGAGCATGCCAGGGCTGAGCCGGTGAGGGTGCTCATGGTGGGAGCCTCAGCCATAATGTCCTCACCATATCCGGAATGGTTGTCAAACTTACACCAACCTAAAGAATGTCTTTTGCTGGACACTTGGGATTTGACCTCCTGCTGTGCGTTATATGGCTGCCACAGGCCAGCTTGAAGACACTTGCAATTAAAGGGTGAGTGAAGTAACTTGCTATAGTCACAGAAAAACTCACTTGACAACACTGAGCAGAAGAAACCCAAGGTGCACATCCAGTCTCTGTGGAAGAGGTCATTTTACCAGATTCACTCTGAGCTGAGACGTCCTGGCCCTGTCCCTAGTACAACACTGTGAGTACTGGATGTCAAAGACACCCTCTTGCAAGGAGAAAAAAAAGATGCTAATTAAGAGCTGCCTTTCCAGAAACCTCTTAACGGAGAGTTGGACCATGCTTGGGTGCTGGGTGGGTGGCTGGCCTTGCTTTCTGCCCAGGAGGGCTCCTCAGGACAAACCTGCCCTTGTGGACAGAGCTCAGCTATAGGAGAGGACAATCCATCAACAGGTCCCTCCTCTCTCCATCTAGAGCTTTGTGCGGATGCATTGCAGAAGCTGAACACCCCGTGCTGTCAGCTCTGTACTGCAAAGAGAAGGCAAAGGGAAGATGCTGTGTGGGAAGAAGCTGTAATGGAGAACAGTTGTTTTTCCCTGGCTCTCTCCTATGTAAACAGCCAGAGAACACCTTGAATCATCAGCAGGTACCAGATAAACTCCAAAGCATTCAAGAGAGAATGAGAAACAGAGGAGGGAAAATAACCCATCCATTAAAGAGGCGGTAGGATGGAGAGGCAAAGCTTTATGCAAGGTGTAAGTCTAGAAAAGCTACAGCTGCTGGTAGGAGGAGGTGGTTATTCATACCACCTAATTTGAAGCAAAAGACTTTGTGTGCAGTGGGAGAAGAGGGTCCCTGGCTCCTACTGGCTGTGAAGCCTGAAGTTATTAGCAGTGCATACAAGGACCTTCCAAGCAAAGATGTGTTTGCACAGATGTACGCCCTTCTGTTTTAGTTAAAAGGACATCCTCACTTCCCCTCCTCAATCCCATGTCCTCCTGGGCACACGCACAATCCTCAGAGCCTCCATCTGCAACAAAACCTTGACGCAAGCACCTCTGACCTACAGACACAAATCCATTTATCGCCAGGCCTGGAGGCTGGACAAAGAGGAGCGGTGTCTCAGAGCTGGGTGCCAGGGCCACTCTCTGATTCAGCAAAGCCCTTGATAAGAAATGTCATCCTCCATTGAGTAATTTTAGCCCACAAGATAAGAATCTCTATCAGGCTCAAACATATGGCTGGCTGCAGAGCACGCAGCAAAATGAGACGGGTAATTTATTTGCTTGTGCTAAGAGCACTCCCAGACTCAGAAAAGCTGATGCAATGAAATAATAAACGCCAAATTACACTCCATCCTTCTTTGGAGAGATACAAGGGCTTGTACGTCTCTCCACACATCAAGCCACCAAGGAGACAATAACACTACACGACTAATGAAGATGGGGCTGTGTGGGATTTTCTAAGGTCTGCTCCTCTTAAATCCTACTTGCTACACAGGGACTTGTACTCACAGGTATGACTGGTGCTTTACGAAGTGCCAACAGATGCTTTCCAGGGGAGGAAAAGGAGGGGTTACGTGACAGAATTACACAGGAACGATGGCTGAACTCCAGTCTCCTGAGAGAAGCCCTTGCTGATAGAGCAGGACCATCAGTCCACTCAGTGCTGCAATGTTCCTCTGCCAAATCCAACTTAGCACCTCTGATTTAAGTGACCTGGGCTAATCCATATAAACATGGCACTGGGCAAGACAATGCCTGACTTAGGTTGCTCAGAGTAATGAACTCACCGACCTGAGCTTTGACAGGAGCATCTGATCCATAGGGATAACTCAAGGACACCCCCAAGGAGTTCTTAGCACATTTAACCACTGCTTACTGGAAGGACCTGCCGGGGAAGGCTCTCCCCTAGAGAGCTGTTTCTTACCATCTTTCATCTCTTGGTTATCATCAAGGGAGACATCAAACTCTCTCTGTGCAGCTACTTATATTCCCTCTCATCTTCAAAACCATGGCTATTGTTCAATGTGTATCACGTGATCCCACACAATCCCTTTTCAATGGGAGGATTTCACTCTCAAACTGATTAACATCCAAATGTCCACTCTGAAACAGAAATTCACACTTGGCTTGCAGATATCTCAATTTGGTGCTTCCAAAGAACTGGGCCAGACACAGATTTTTAAAGCAGCCTTCCTCTCTCTGATTCAAACCCGCCGTAGAGATGTAGTAGACATGCACTTTGTCATAGACAGTCTCTTCACTGATGTGAAATCAGTGTTGTTTCCTGGCCAGTAGTACCTTCCCATCACGAGATCTACCCATGTCATTGGCATTCTCACTGGAAATATCAGCAGTTAAACCAACAACTGAATGAGTCACAGAGATGATAAACTTCTTGCTAATCCTAAGAGATGGTCCTTCCATCTGTGCTGAGACATGGGGTGACAGGGATGAAAAAACCTCTGATCTGCAAAAAATCAGGGGATTTTAAACTCACTGGAGTTCAATTCAGCATTTTCCATCACTGCCAGATTTATTACGGAAGGTCTACATGCACATCCTGGCATGGCCTTCATCACTGCCATCATGACAACATCACACAGAAACCTCAGAGTAAGAGTCTGATGAACGCTTTCCACACTCACCACCATACAGCCTTCACATGAACCAGCCAGACTGCACAACATGCAGCAGAGCAAAGCCACATGTCCCTCATGCCCATTGAGTTGTATTGCTAGAAGAGACCAAGCTTAAGACATCCCTCTGGCCAGCCTTCTCCTCTGAGGAATGCCTGGAGTGCTCCAGAGCCCAGGGCACAACAAGCAACAACCCACACATGTTTATGAGAAAAATCATTTGCAGCAGAAGAAAAGCTAAAAGAGAAATCAAGCTTCAACTTTCTTTTCTGCAACCAATGTTTTTCAGTTCTCCAAAGGTGATAAATTGAAAACAGGAAAGTTTGCTCTGTTTTTTTCAGCTCCTGTCTCTCTCCTCTTGCGGCTTTGGATTGAGGCAGTGCAATACATACAGCTCTTCGTGTATCATCAGTCTGGAAAATACTACTGTGCTCTGGAGCTGCAAACAGTGCAGGTGAGTGTGAGACTTGTCATCCTCACTTCCAAAAATAAGGCACCAAGTTCTTCTGGCATAAAGTAAAGGCACAAAGACTTCTCCAGAAGCAACGCGTTTAATATGTATGTCTGTGACAAAACAGATGCTTGAAAAGTTAAGTCTCAGATACACGGAGAAGTAAGACTATAGAGATTTGCTGATCATTTTTACATGAAGCCTGCTCAAGTGTCTGCTGGCCTCTGCAATGGGCTCTGCAGAGGCAGGTACGGGTGACATAGGACACGGGAAGAGGACAGGGGAAAAGGATGGAGGTTGGGAGCAAAAAGAGAAATCACTCGATCAAAAATCAATGTCTGGACTCATCCCACTTTTTGCCTGGTGGATATTTGACTGGGATAGGAAGGAGAGAAAACGTTTGGGTGGTTTGGGTTGTTATTTTTACCTTGTTATGAAGCTGCAGTCCCATTCTGGAGGTCAGGAAGATGCCTTGTATCACCACCTCTCCTCCTTCTTCCTGTATCTTCCCTTCTGCATATTCCTATTGGACAAAATCCTCTCTAAAATGAGAGCTAGACTCCAGTCTTTTCTCCTTCTGAGTGCTCCCAACAGCAACACAACATTGATTCTAGTTACTTGTGCAAAGCAGCCAACTCCATTCTTTCTCCTTGTGTGATATTGGAGATACAAACTTAAGCTCCCCTGCCCCCAAGGACTAGGGGAGGGCAAGTTCAGGAAGTCTGAAATACTGTAATCCAAGTGAAACTGTGGCTCGTCAGGCTCCATCATCCCAACTGTGGATGCACCTGTAAGGAAAATACAATTTTAATACCTGGATAGGGACAGACTGACAAATGTTCAGGTTTTATACATGATTTCTGTTAGTATTATAAGAATAATGTCTGGTTCACCCTTCAGGGGATACCCTGACCCTGCAGTATTGATGAAAGAACACCTTGTTCGTGCCTACAAATTCAGCCAACAGAAGGTAGTACTCAAACAGAGATGAACAAGGGGTTGGACTAGATGACCTTTGAAGGTCCCTTCCAATCCGAGCTCTATGATTCTATGTCAAAGATAGCTTAAAAAAACCCCAGTTCTATCATCCTTGGAGGGTTTCAAGACCTTTTTTTTCCCCATTATAAATGAGTGGGGGGAAAAATGAAGATAAAAAACCTTGACATTTTGAAGATTGTTAAATTCAAACTAGCTTTGATCTGAAGCACTTTGTTTCAACAGTTGGAATTTTTCCCTTTGGTGTCATTAACTTTTACACTTTTCAATGTAACTTGCTTTAGAAACAAAGAGTCATTTCAAATACCAATGCAGCTGGAAAGTTTAGGTACTGCCAGAGGCAAACCCTCTCCAAAATTTTACTCTACTTTCCTCAAAAAGGAGGATTTATTGAAGCTGTCTCTCTCCTGAGGGTGCACTGAACTTCAGCATGGTGGCATAATGGTGAAAAGTACCCAGTCAGTTCAAATGCCGACAAAGGAAACACCGAGCTACTTTCATCAAATTAAATGATTTTAATACACAATGCAATACAGTTACTTCTACATTTGAATTCTACCTAAAACCATTCCAGTGCTCAACTAAAGATTCATATAGATTCATACAGAGTAGTATGTCTAGATTCATATAGATTAGTATGTCTACTCATATAGACTATATTCACATTGGTATGTCTATTCATATAGTCTATTCATATAGACTACTATGTCTAGATTCATATAGACTAGAACCTTCATATAAGGTTCATATAGACTAGTAAACAGACTACATTGCATGTTGATTAATACTAATGTGACATTGATCCATGGATGCAAAAGACTCGTCCAGTGACAAGACAGGAAAGCCTCCAAAAATCAGACCTAGATTAAATTCTAAGTTTGTCAAAACTAGCATTTTTTTGTGTACAGACAGAAACAGAAACACAGCAGAAAGATAGGAATTGTAAGCCCTCAGCCATGACGGTGGCAATAACATCCACAACTCCAGAGATGGGTTTTTCTGACCATCTCTTGCTGCTTTCTATATTTACATGTCAAGCGTTTATATGCTTCTTCTGCTCCAAGACCTGCTGTGCTGTTTCTGGGCCCAGCTCTCTAAATGCCCCACACAGACATACCAAGCTACTGTAGGCTCCTCTTGGGTCATACATCATTATTCGTCACATCCATCTCCATCCTGCAAAGCACTTTCCCAGGCTTGCTCCCTGCCTGTAACCACACATACTTGATGGCCCATCCTTGGCCAGGTCATGGTGCTGTGTGTGTCATGCGTTGGAAGGGAAGAAACATGAATAGGATGAGATCTTCACCTTTGGGCCATCCATCTCACCTACCACATCAACGTCTCCTCTCCATTGAAGTCCTTTGTTACACCCCAACCACATGCTTCCACCTTCTTCCCGATTTTAACATGCACAACCTGCAACATCACCTCACCACCCCTGCAAGGAGATGACACACTAGCCCTAATTTTGGGTGATGAGTTCCTTTTTCTTGTGGCTGCCAAGTACCTTTCAAGACAAAGTGTCCACATCATTGCTTTCCAGTGAGCAACACAAACTGCTCTGCTCTGAAGACATGTGCTCTGTGACGTGTAGAAGTCATTGAGGAAGAGGGAGAAAGAGCAGTGCGTTGTCAGGCGCTGCAGCACACACTAGGGCTGGAAGGGCTGTGACCATAAAACAAGGGCTTGCAATGTGCAGCCTAGAAAGAGACTGCATGGCACAGGGCATCTGGAATTGCAGTGTTACCCTCAGGCTGCCAATGATATTCCCCAAGGCAGGGCACGATGCCGACACAGTGACATTAAAAGCACAGCTTCCAGTAGCATCCTGGCTGCCCAAAGCCCTGGCACGAGGCAGTGGAGCTGTCCCAAAGCTGACCCTCCCTGGGAGGAACACCACATGCTGAGAATCCTGGCACAGGGATTAGCAAGGCAGTGTTGAAGTGCTAAACACGGATACAACCGGGGAGTGGAACAGCTTCCCGCAAATAAGGGGACAGGCAGGAGTATCTTTTCACACATTGGTCTCTGTACAAGCAGAACTTGTCCTGTTCTTGGCTGAAGTCAATGTTCAGATGGACAATGTTCTCGCCCACATGGCTCAGCTGCAGCAGCACACACAGACAGTGACGTGTAACCAGGCAAACCTGGGGCATAGTACTTACGATTACATGCTAGACTACCTCCAAACACCCTATCTGAATGGTAAAAGCAAGAATAATTTGGGTTACAGTCTGGAGTGCCTTCCTCTCCGCAGCTCCTCAGCAGCTGGATGTCCCTGCTTCTGCCACTACCTGATTCCTGCATCGCTCGTAAATTAGCATCACACATAGCAGCAGGCAGCAAAATGCACCAGCAGGGCTGCTGAAGGCACTGACTTCAACAGTGGTTTAAGCAGATGTGCTAAGGAAACATCTGGTTGTTATTACCAAAAGGCTTTCCAGGTTGCCATTCAGATCAACACCTCTGTTTCCTCTGAGTCATTATAAATACGTAAGAAACAACATAAAACTGATAGTAAAAGCACCCCAATTGGAAATACAGCCAATCCTCTGTGTCTCACATCTGGAAATACACTGACCCAAACCCTCCAGGGGGGCACTCAGCCCATGACTCTCAAGCAAAGGGTTTGGTGCTACACTCAACAGCCAGCAGCAACAGATCTGGCTGGCACAGAACTTGCAGGTTAACCAACTCCATGGTTAATTTCCATGGGAGAAAGCAATCCATTAAGAGCTGAAGAGTTAAAAAAAAACCTGCAGGACTCTGGAGCCCAGTGGCATGCAGTCTATCCTGTCCCACCAAACACTGGAGATACATCTCAGTGTTATTTCCCTGTTGGGAACCACTTGCCTTCCCCTCAGTTCTGTGGAATACATTCCTAGCAACTCTCAGCTATATTAAGATTTTTGACATGCGGCTGGTACAGTGAGAAATGTTAAACTACAACTCCTTTCAGAATACAAACCAAGGGAAAAATACATCAAAAAGACTAATGAGATGTTTGGCGCATAAAACAAATGGCTACATGGAAACTTTTCAAACACACAAGGCCTACAGGACTGGCTGAGGCAAGAGGCATAATTAGCCCAACATGAGCTTCAAGGCAGGTCTGCAATGCTTGGCCATCCAAATGAAGGATGTCACGTACCAGCAGAGAGGCCCTGTTATCTTTGGGCCTTGGGTTGGCACAGCCGATGGGAGTGTGAGGTTTAATGCTTGTACCCACGCTGCAAGAAAAATGCTGGGAAAACTGGAGTGAGTTCAGAGGACAGCCGCAAGAACAAAACCAGGCTTGTACCGAGGAGCTCAAGGAAGTCAATCAAAGAGAAAGTTAAAAGGTACCTCGCAGCCTGTAAGTACCTGTCAGGAAGAGTGCTCTTCAGCCTACCAGACACAGGCATAACAAGACCAAAGGTTGAAAGTTGAAGCTCGGCAGAAAACAAACTAGAAACAAAGGTACCGTTTTCCAACACTGCAGGTAATTAACAGAGGGAAAAGTGCCACAACTGGCATGGCCAGTGATCCAGCACTGTCGATGCTTAGAGTGAGATTGGATTCCACCCCAAAAACGCACATCTGGGTCCGTCCACAACTGATGAACCCAGAGTGGAAACTAATTCAAGGAATATCTGTTACACAGCAAGTCAGACTAAACAAGCACCATGACCTTAAAACCTAAAAATTAATGTGGTACAAAGAACAAAGAGGCCAAATTATCAGTGGTTGGGCCCTTACAGCCCCAGAGGTCAATCTGCACCCCATCACTATCAAGATGTGGGTTTTGCTGAAGAGCAACAAAAGCGCCAGATTCCCACCATGAGCAGCAAAGTGAGATGCTGTTACAACAGAAATCCACACTGATATTTTGTTTTCCAGCTAAAGAACTAGGAAAAATCAGAACCAGACCAAAGCAAGTAAAAACATTACACTGATGGGGCAGAAACAAAGCACAGTATAGGAAATACGCTTTTTACAGTGAGAAAAATCATACCCTGGAACGACCTCCCTGGGGAAGTGATGGAGTCCCCATCACTGGAGGTTTTCAAGATCGACAAGGTGCTAGACAATCTCACCTAGGTTACCCTTCCCACGTGTTGGACCTGATGAACTTTCAAGATCCCTTCCAACCTGGGCTGGTCTATGATTCTATGAAAAGCACATAAAACTCTCCTGACTAGAGGCACTTGAACTAAAGGAACAAAGCTCCAAACTCTGAAACACCCATTGATGTTAATCATATTTAGGATTCCAGGTTTCCTTTGTACTTCTCAACTCCAGTATTTACACATCTGCTGGGTTCTCCTAAGCCTCAAAAGCATGTCCCAGGATGCAGCCCCTTACTGCATTTTCCCTTAAACAGCTGAAAAGCCCTAAGGATGCAAATGCCCTGGTCCAGCCCTTCCTGCAAGCAGAAAGCAAATCATAGTTCCTGGCTGGTTTGTATGAAGTTTCCATCATCATGATGTTGGTTTATGGTTGTGCATTTCCAATACCTTCCCTCACCCGTTTCTTCTTCCTTCAGGGCTTAAAATGTGCAACCCCATCCACTGTTACAGCAATAGCATTAAGAGAGTAAACTAACCTACTGCTCCCTAAGAAACCAGGAGACTGCAGTCAAACCCAGCCTCCTCCAACCCTGGACCTGCACACAGCTGAAAAAGGCTGGGAGTGCTAGGGATGGGGATGAGCTTTTGGGGCTGCAAAGCATGGGAATCAATTCCTAAGACTTTAAGGACTACTGAGTCACCCAGGCTGAATCTTGCATAAGGGAGGTCACAAGTTTCAC